ACTTCTTTCTATCGGGTTATGTTAAAGATATCGTGATACTAGACGTCATTAATCTAAAGCAAAAGATCACTGACGACATTGCCACCATTGATGAGGATATGCTACAATGAACATGACAAGAAATCGATTACGGTTTGATGTGCTTCGTGCAATTAATGGTGATCCATATAGAGACATAATAAATTAGTTTAAAATTTCAATATCTACTTCTTATTTTGTAACAATTTCCACATATTTGCCTGTTTATCTGATTTTGTAATATTTTATTTTTAAATTGTAAAGAGACTTTATGCACTCCCTGTATTTTCCATAAGATAATGTTTATAGCTACGAGTTAGAATAAACTGAAAGGCTTCCATGAGTTGAGTTTTCATAATTCCACCACACGATTGTCTAACAATATATTAAAAAAAATGAACTTGTGTTAGTTAAGAAAAGGTGTCATAGATCAGATTTTCACAAATAAAAATTGTAGATGCAGGGTTACCTATCAAAAAGTAATTACATTCGGTAAAATATGTAAAATAAAATTTCGCAAGAACAGTGTTCACGTTCCTGAATTCTCTATAATTCCATCGAAAGTTTCTCGAATTGAATGTTGATTCTTAAAAAAAAAAAAAAAAAAACGGTAAACCTTAATTAGATTCTCGCGATTAAAATCTCTGTGGAGTTAACCGTAGAAAGAGTTGCATTTGTGTTTTTTTTTTTAACTATGATGTAAGACTCTATTTCAAACAAATTTTATTGTCCAGTTTTCACTTCTGATTGTGGAACAACTTTAAGACAGTCACTGATGTGAGACGGGAATTAATTGCATTTTAACACAATGTGCATATTTTAATTTATCCTTTTCCGTGTATTAGGCTGTTATATAAATTCGTTCTTTTTTATTATTTAATTTGATACGTATTTTTTATTACTAGTTTTGAGGAATCCCTCAACAATATATTGCCCTTCAATGTTTAATTGTTTAATGCACCGACGATAGAAATCATTAGATTTTGACATGAAAAAAAATCAAGTCACGTTTTAAGGTCTATATCGTTGTTGAATGACACACCCCTCGAATATATGTAGAAAGCGACAGAAAAAATGAAGCGGCTAAATCAGGAGAATATGGCGGGCTGACAGAACTTCCCAACTGAGTTCTTTAATTGCTTGTTTGTTCGGGTTAACGACGTGGAGACGAGCATTGTCATGTTGAATAATCACAGAGTAGTGCCGGTCAGGTCTTTTCAGCTGAATTGCCTCTTTGAAACACTGTTAAGTGACCAATCTGTGAAGCGACACAGATTCTTTCCCGCCAAATTTTAAGTCGAGACAAGACTTGGTTCTAGACAGGAAAATAAAGAAAGAAACGAAGAAAAGATGAAAGTTAAAGAAAACTTGTCCCTTAATAATTGATTCATACGTCTGATTTAACATTCAACATTGTGAGCCATGTTACCATCACAACGTGCTTTTAATGGTCTCCTTGTAAAGTTCATTAACTTCTAGTGACCCGACAGAGCTAATTGCGTTTATTTGTTTTATTAATTTATTCCAAAATATTGTTTAAATTTATACTGTTGTTATATTGGTGTGAATTTTCCATGGGGTACTCATATTGCTTGTTGTCGTTTGTGATCAGGTGCCATCAGAAGCATTTACATTTTACTAAATTTAAATGAAAAGCTTTGATAATATTAGGAATTTTTTTGTTTGTTTTTTTTTTAAGCATTTCACCCAAGCAAGACGGAAGTGTCACTAGCACGCAACGGGTTACAGAGAGTAAAAGTAAGATGAAAGTTTGTGGAAAGGGTAAAGAAAAGGACGGGGATCAAGATCAGTTTTGAAGATTATTTTAGTAAAAGGAAACAAGTAAGCGGAAGGAGTTCCACTGTCAGGACAATGCATCAGAAGAATTGTTGCAGATAAAGAAGAGGCGGTTACATTTAACTGGTTCGTCAGGAAAAATGTGGGACTGAGATGCCAACTTAGTTGGGAAACTAAGATAAAAAGCTCGTCAAAGAAGATGCCATGGAAAACATTTTTGAAAACAGACACTTAAAATTTCAGAACATCACGTCTGCTAGATATTTTTTCAGATCGAGATGATCTTAAATATTTTTAGTCGTATCATCATTTTAGAATTTTGTCGAGAATCTAGTCTGAAAACCTGCTATATACCAGGCCTTGTACGGTAACATAATTCAATGCAAGGACGAATGGTAGATTTGAAGATGTAGCTATTCAGTCGGTTATGCTCAGCATCCTTCTGTAGAACAAAATTTCTATTGCCTCTAGTGTTTTCTTCATCAGTGTTGAGATTCTTCTTAAATGCAGTTAGTAAAAGCTAAACATTTCAAATGGCACCTGATCACAAAATGACAACGAGCGATATGCGTATCATAGAAAAAATGAACAATATAACAACAGTATTTCTTTGGAAATTTATTCTGCTTTTTTTTATTTTGGAATCTTCTAATAAAACAAACAAATGATGTTAACGCTCTATGGGACCATGTCTTAAAAGTTAATGAACACCTTGAGGAATTAAAATGATTTTAAAAAAGGAACGTTAACATTTGTTCTTGGAAATTTTTTAAACATATTTTATTCTGTGAAATTTTATTGGTCATATTTTACATATGTGGTTGTTATTCTCAAAAGATTCCAAAAGATGGGACCTTGAAAGGACAGTGAGACGTTGTCTTGATGTTAAGCATAGATTCTGATAGAATGGGGTGATTTCTCTGCGGTAGATAGCCAAAAACATTTTACAGCAATATATATAAGTTGCTTTTTAATGGTCTCCTCGTGATGTTCATCAACTTTTAGTGGTCCTATAGAGCTAACAGCATTTGTTTGTTTTATTAGTTTATTCCAAAATAAAAATTTTGAATAAATTTATACTGTTGTTATAATGGTGTTCATTTTTTCTATGATATCATTGCTTTTAATGAAATTTTGTGACTTTTGAGTGCCATTTGAAATGTTTAGCTTTTACTAACTGCATTTAAATGATAGATTTTGATTATATTATTATTTTTGGACAAAATATACAGCCTTAAATACAAGTCAAACATTATAAAATAAAAAAGAAGTATTTTCAAATAGAAAAATTATCAAGAGAAAATTGTTTGAATTTGAGCTTTTTTGTTTGTTTAATCAATTCACCATGAATAGTGAAGAATCTCAACACTCATGAAGAAAACACTAGAGGCAATAGAAATTTTGTTCTACAGTAGGATGCTGAGCATAACCGACTGAATATGTGAACAATGTCGAAGTTTTAGAGAAAATTGAAACAAAACGAACACACTTATACTTAATGTCAGAGAGACAGTTGTTATTTCTAGGGCACATAACGAGGAAAGAGGGTTTGGAAAAACTGATACTCACAGGACAGATTGAAACAGGCGTCATAGAGGAAGGCAGCGGATGACCAACTTGTCGCACTTGTCTAATTAGTTGGCAGAGCAAGGATTAGAGGACAGCAAAAAATATAAGATTTTCTAAGCGCTACAAATGAAAGGAAGTTGAGAATCCTATTAGACATTGAACATATGAAAAGAAAATTTGTATATAATTGGAAACAGAAAAGGGATTAGAGGAGATAGAAAAAAATTAAAATTTACTAAGAAATACAAATGTCAGGAAGACTTGGAGAGCCATGATACCCAGGATATCCTGACGTGAAACAACATACCTAAAAAAGGACTGTGTAATTTGTTCGCAGAACAGGGATTAGGACAGATAGGGAAAATACAAAATTTCTTAAGGGCTACAAATAACAGGAAGTTGTGGAGCTTCAAGATTAGCTACGTCCTGAAGGGCCACGTCATATAGAAGAAGAAGAAGAAGAAGAAGAAGAAGAAGAAGAAGAAGAAGAAGTTTGTGCAAATTGTTGGTAGAATAGGGATCAGAGGAGAAAGCGAAAATACAAAATTTACTAACAGCTACAAATGGCGGGAAGTTGTGGAGAGCCATGAAAACCCATGTCCTTAAGGAGCACGCCAGATACAAGAAGAAGAATGAACTTGTGTAATTGCTTGGCAGAACAGAGACTAGAAGAGATAGGGAAAATACAAAATTTACTGACAGCTACAAAAAAGAAAGTTGTGGAGAGCCATTTCACCAACATCGGAAGAGACAAGCACATAGAATAAGAAGAGTCCTCCGCTTTTGTCAGTGCAAAAATGGTCATACCGCAACTTTCTAAAGAGTGTTTACTGGGTTTTGTATTGGTTAAAAACTGTTACAAAAAATATATGTCGTCCCTATCGTGTTCTGGTCCACAAAAATCTTCAGAACAAAGCACAATACACAGTCAATTGTCCCCATTATCCAGTCCTCTGCCATCAGCATCGTGTCTAATACGACGACCGTAGTTTGGACCTAACGAAGCAGATAAATGACACTTATACTACATGAGATGAACCTTAGATTATCTCTAAGCATGTAAATCTTACCAAATCAAATGGTCGGATCGATAATCTTAAAGCCTTGTGTTACGGGTTTCTTTGGAGTTCAAGAATTATGGCGGTATTAAAACGATGTTTTTCGGAACAAGAGGAACGGATGCCGAGGGAAGTGGCAAGCAAAGACAAACGTGAAGCCAATTCCATCGAAGAAAAGAGTCTATTCTTTACTATAAACAATTACGCGAACTCTTGACGGATTTCGTTTTGAGGAGTGCCGTCCGAGGAAGACGCCATTATTGAAGAAGAGGCACTTAGATGCAAATTTGCGAAGGACTTCCTGAACGAAATCTCGTCTTCTTTTCGGCAGCCATAACGTTGAGTTATTCGGTTGCATTGATAAAATTAAAGTGTGGAGAAACCGAATCTTTCAATTCGAGGAATATCGTACTTATTATAAAATGTCGAGAATTTTTGAGTATTTGGAAAGAGGCTTAGGGACAATTAACAAACGCTAAGCTTCAATCATGAATCCACGGCTGTCAGCCAGAGAAACAGTTCAAGATACAAGCTAAAATTTGGAGACCTCAGAATCAATTACGAAAACTTAAATAACCGAAAGCTCATAGATGCAGCGGAAGATGCTTTCCAAAAGCCAAGTAAAATATTAAGATAGATAGATAGATAGATAGATAGGAATAAGCGGAAGATAGATAGATAGATAGATAGATAGATAGATAGATAGATAGATGATAGGAATAAGCGGAAGATAGATAGATAGATAGATAGATAGATAGATAGATAGATAGATAGATAGATAGATAGGAATAATCGGAAGATAGATAGATAGATAGATAGATAGGAATAAGCGGAAGATAGATAGATAGATAGATAGATAGGAATAAGCGGAAGATAGATAGATAGATAGATAGATAGATAGATAGATAGATAGATAGACAGATAGATAGATAGATAGATAGAATAAGCCGGAAGATAGATAGATAGATAGATGGGAATAGATAGATAGATAGATAGATGATAGATAGATAGATAGATAGATAGATAGATAGATGAGATGGGAATAAGCGGAAGATAGATAGATAGATGGATGGATAGATAGATAGATAGAGGAATAATTGGAAGATAGATAGATAGATAGATAGATAGATAGATAGATGGGGAATCTAAGGATGATGGATGATAGATGGATAGATAGATAGATGATAGATAGATAGATGAATGAATAGAGGAATAAATGGAAGATAGATAGATATGATAGATAGATAGATGATAGATAGATAGATAGATAGATTGATGGATAGATGAATAGATAGATGGATAGATAGATAGATAGATGGATAGATAGATGGATAGATAGATAGGAATAGAAAGATAGATAGATAGATAGATAGACAGATAGATGATAGATAGATGGATGGGAATAATCGATAGATGGAAAGATAGATGGATGGATAGATAGATGGATAGAATAACGGAAGATAGATGGATAGATAGATAGATAGATGGATGATAGATGATGAATAGATAGATGGATGATGATGATAAGCGGATAGATAGATGGATAGATAGATGGATGGATGGATGGATAGGAATAAGCGGAAGATAGATAGATGGATAGATGGATGGATAGATAGATGGATGGATGGATGAATAGATAGATAGATGGATAGATGGATGGATAGATGGATGGATGATATGGATAGATAGATAGATGGAATGAAGATAGCTAGATGGATAGATGAATAGATGGATGGAAGATAGATAGATAGATCTTAGATAGATGGATGGATAGATGGATAGATGGATAGATAGGAAGATAGATAGATGGATGGATGGGAATGGATAATAGATAGATGGATAGATGATAGATAGATAATAGATAGATAGATAGATAGATGGATGGATGGATGGGTAGATGGGGATAAGCGGAAGATAGATAGATGGATAGATAGATAGATCTGAATGGATGGATAGATAGATAGATGGATGGAATAATCGGAAGATAGATAGATAGATAGATGGGAATAATGCGGAAGATAGATAGATAGATGAATGGGAATAAACGGAAGATAGATAGATGGATAGATAGATAGATAGATAGATAGATAGATAGATAGGAATAAGCGGAAGATGAGATAGATAGATAGATAGATGGGAATAAGCGGAAGATAGATAGATAGATAGATAGATAGATAGATAGATGGGAATAATGCGTGAGATGGATAGATAGATGATAGATGGATAGATGGATAGATAGATGAGATGAATGGGAATATAGCGGATGATAGATAGATAGATGGATGGATAGATAGATAGATAGAATGGGAATAGAGCGGAAGATAGATGGATAGATAGATAGATAGATAGATAGATAGAGATAGATGGGAATGGGACAGTGAAGATAGATAGATAGATAGATAGATAGATAGATAGATAGATGGATGGGAATAATGCGGAAGATAGATAGATAGATAGATAGATAGATAGATAGATAGATAGATGAATAGGAATAATCGGAAGATAGATAGATAGATAGACATAGATAGATAGATAGATGAATGGAATAAGCGGAAGATAGATAGATAGATAGATAGATAGATAGATAGATAGATAGATAGATAGATAGGAAGAAAACGAAGATAGATAGATAGATAGATAGATAGATAGATAGATGATAGACCAAGATGCCATTTAAGATAGAAAGATAGATAGATGAGATAGATAGATGAAATAGATAGATAGATAGATAGATAGAATAAGGAAGATAGATAGATAGATAGATAGATAGATGGGGAATAAGCGGAAGATAGATAGATGATAGATAGATGATAGATAGATAGATAGATAGATAGATAGACAGTGAGTGAAGAAAGAAAGATAGAAGAAAAGAAATATAGATAGATATCGGTAATATTGATATGGGAATGAATACTGAAGTAAATGAACACAGGTTTTTGGAAAAATATTAGAAAAACAATTTATTCAGTATCTGTCTATATTTCTGAGATGAGGTATTATGTACACTATTTACATTATTCGCACTATTGTCCTCATCTTTGTCGCCATATTTATTACAACGTTTCGGCCGTTGTACTCTCCTGCCTTCTTCAGGTGGTTGGAATGTCGAACTGAACATTTTATTTCGCTCACTGGGGTAGACTGTTCTATTTCCACGTGCCATGTTTAATGGATGTCAGTTATCAGTTATCTCCTGTTAATTCCCCTCCAAGTTCTTTACTGCCTTAACCGGGTATTGAACTCGCACTGTTTGGGTCCTGTCATTGGATCAAACCAATGCCGTTATCCACTTATTTTAGCGCTAAACGCAGTAGCGTAGGAATAAAAATTAGGTATTGTTGAGTTCGTCATCATGTAAGTAACATGCATACCGAATCTGAACGAAATTGGAGGAAAAAGTTGAATTTATCGATATTTGATCGGCTATATCGATTATTGACTTTTAAAAAAATTATCGATTTTTAAGGTAAGAACCTATCTCTTAAATGGTACAATGTATGTGCCAAGTTTGATCAAAATCGGTTGGATGGATTTCGTGTTAAATGATATCACACAGACAGACACACAGACACGCAGACCTCCTCTGTTTTTATATATATATATATATATATATATATATATATATATATATATATATATATAAAATATATATATATACGTTGTGTTATATAACAGAAAAACCTTAATCCCCACCTTCAGCATCGCTGGCTCAGTATTATCGAAGACGTGCACTGGTCCGATCTTGTATCCAACGAGGGGCGCTGGAGTGTTATGAAATATTGGTGACACCTATGGCAATGAATGCTGGACAATCTTGTCACTGGTGGACAAGTGATTTGCAACAAAAGAGAGAAGTCATTCGGTAAAAGGATGCTTAGCACTAGAAAGAAACGGTGGTAATATCCAGAGAACATAAAGAGAAAAGAGGGCTGAGAAAATTTGAGCCTTTCAGGGCATTTTCAAGGTGAAGTGTGACACCGGGAAACATTGAGTAACCTTACTAACGTGTTTGTGCAAATGGTTTGCAGGTCGTGGAATGGGAGTGGGGAGGTTTGAAACGACAAAATAGCTACAAAAACCCCGATACGATTGTCCAACGAGGATCCTGAAGATTGGGCAGCCGATTATCCCTCATACCATCGTCCAGCGCCGTGTTTGCTCTCTCGATGGGGTCTTGCGCCGGCCAGATAACCAACCAACCAAAGTCACCTAGAAGTTTTACCCGCTATCTGCAAATCGGCGACGACCTCGTGGCATACCACGCCGCCGCCGTAAACGCATCGTCCACCAAGACCTCCAGAAGATTAATCCGGCGCTTGTGGACGAACTGAGAGCAGGAGCAATTAGCTGGCTTTTGTTAGGTCAACGTCTCTATACCATTTATATCAGCGGCGGTGTGTGATAAAACCTGCAAAATTATTGGTTTGGTTTGGCTTGGTTTATTTTGTTTTACGGCATATCAATCTCAATGGGTTATTTAATGCCGACAAAATTTTTTATTGCTCGTAATATTTTGTATTGTCAAAAATCTGTTTCTGGTAATATTTTTCCTTCAAATTTTTTCAAAAACTATTGCTGGTAATAGTTAACTATTTGCCCATAACTGGGACCCTAACAGGTTCTACCACCCAGGGTCAGGGTGGACATGGGAACACCAGCAATTAAGAGGTGGTTCCACACTCTTCAAAACATCCTAATCAAAGACCTTGCTGTTGGATGTAGTTTATCGCCTTACCCAGGACGCAGATGTAGATTAGCGTCTTACCCAGGACGCGGATGTAGTTTAGCGTCTTACACAGGACGCTGATGTAGTTTAGCGTCTTACCCAGGAAAAGGATGTAGTTTATCGTCTTAAGATAAATAGTTAGGCGGATGTAGTTTAGCGTCTTACCCAGGATGAGGATGTAGTTTAGCGTCTTATTTCAGGACAAAAGATGGTTTATCGCCTTACCCAGGACAAGGATGTGGTTTTGCATCTTCCAGGACGAGGATGTGGTTTAAGCGTCTTAAAGGACGAGGATGTGGTTTAGCGTCTTAAGTGGTTTTAGGCGGATGTGGTTTATCGTCATACCCAGGAGATGGATGTGGTTTATCGTCTTACCCAGGACGTGGATGTGGTTTTAGCGTCTTACGCAGAACAAGGATGTATTTTAGCGTCATAGCCAGGACCGGAAGTAGTTTATCGTCTTCAGGATGAGAATGTGGTTTATCGTCTTACCCAGGACAAGGATGTGGTTTAGCGTCTTTACAGGACGAGGATGTGGTTTAGCGTCTTAAGTGAAAGTTTACAAAGATGTGGTTTATCGTCTCTTTTAGGACGTGGATGTAGTTTAGCGTCTTACCCAGGACGAGGATGTGGTTTAGCGTCTTACCCAGGACGGGATGTATTGTTTATCGTAAACCAAGAGACGGATGGATTATCGTCTTACAGGACAGGAAAGTTTAATCGTCTTACCAGGACAAGGATTGGTTTATCGTCAGAACAGGACAAAGATGTGGTTTCGTCTTACCCAGGACAAGGATTTGGTGGTCGTCTTACCAAGGACTAGGATGTGGTTCAGCGTCTTAGACAAGGATGGAGGATGACGAATGTTTAGCGTCTTACCAGGACGAGGATGTAGTTTAGCGTCTTACCCAGGACGAGGATGTAGTTTATCGTCTTACCCAGGACGAGGATGTGGACAAGCGTCTTACCCAGGACGGGAATAGGATAGGATGTAGGATCTTTCTTACTCCTCAAATTGTTCAGCGGAGGAAAGGATGTGGTTTAGCGTCTTACCCAGGACGAGGACAATGGTTTAGCGTCTTACCCAGGATGAGGATGTGGTTTAGCGTCTTACCCAGGATGAGGATGTGGTTTATCGTCTTACCCAGGACGAGGATGTGGTTTAGCGTCTTACCCAGGACGAGGATGTGGTTTAGCGTCTTACCCAGGACAAGGATGTAGTTTGATCGTCTTACAGGGACAAGGTCAAACAAATCGTCTTAACCAGGAGTGGATGTGGTTTAGCGTCTTAGTCTTAAAGGACGAGGATGTAGTTTATCGTCTTTTAGGAAAGGATGTAGTTTATTAAAAACCTATTTAAGGAGAAGTTTATCGTCTAACCCAGGACAAGGATGTGGTTTAATCGTCTTACCAAGGATATAGGATGTAGTTTTATCGTCTTACCCAGGACGCGGAACAACCTGGGACAAAATTTATTTTATCGTCCCCAGGATAAGGATTTGGTTTATCGTCTTAGGACGTGGATTGGTTTATCGTCTTACCCAGGACGCGGATTAGTTTAGCGTCTTACCCAGGACGCGGATGTGGTTTATCGTCTTACCCAGGATAGGATGTGGTTTATCGTCTTACCCAGGATAAGGATGTATTTTTATCGTCTTACCCAGGACGAGGATGTAGTTTAGCGTCTTACCCAGGAAATTTTTTTTTACCCAAGACAAGTTTGGGGTCGTCTTACCAAGGACGAGGATGTGGTTTATCGTCTTTCCCAGGAGAAAGGATGTTTTTCAGTTTTCGTCTTTCCCAGGACAGGATGGGTTGTGCATCTTACCCAGGACAGGTTTGATTTGGTTTGTTTCTTACCTTTTTTACGGATGTGGTTTATCGTCTTACCCAGGACGGATGTATTTTGCGTCGTCTTACCCAGGACGAAGGATGGATTGGTTTATCGTCTTACCCAGGACGTGGATGTGGTTTATCGTCTTACCCAGGACAAGGATATCTTGGATATGGATGTAGTTTATCGTCTTACCAAGGATGTCGTCTTACCCAGGACAGGATGTGGTTTATCGTCTTACCCAGGACGCGGATGTGGTTTATCGTCTTACCCAGGACAGGACGGTTTATCGTCTTACCCAGGACGCGGATGTGGTTTCATCGTCTTACCCGGGACAAGGATGTGGTTTATCGTCTTACCCAGGACGCGGATGTAGTTTATCGTCTTACCCAGGGAAACGGATGTGGTTTATCGTCTTCAGGATTTAGGATGTGGTTTATCGTCTTACCCAGGACAAGGATGTAGTTTATCGTCTTACCCAGGGGATGTGGTTTATCGTCTTACCCAGGACGTGGTTTATCGTCTTACCCAGGACGCGGATGTGGTTTATCGTCTTACCCAGGACAACGGGATGTGGTTTATCGTCTTACCCAGGACGCGGATGTTTGGTTTATCGTCTTACCCAGGACGCGGATGTTGGTTTATCGTCTTACCCAGGACGAGGATGTGGTTTATCGTCTTACCCAGGACGCGGATGTAGTTTATCGTCTTACCCAGGACGCGGATGTGGTTTATCGTCTTACCCAGGACGAGGATGTAGTTTATCGTCTTACCCAGGACAAGGATGGGGTTTATCGTCTTACCCAGGACAAGGATGTGGTTTATCGTCTTACCCAGGACGCGGATGTGGTTTATCGTCTTACCCAGGACAGGATGTGGTTTTTATCGTCTTACCCAGGACGCGGATGTGGTTTATCGTCTTACCCAGGACAAGGACGACGGATGTGGTTTATCGTCTTACCCAGGACGCGGATGTAGTTTATCGTCTTACCCAGGACGGAGTTTATCGTCTTACCCAGGACAAAGGATGTGGTTTATCGTCTTACCCAGGACGCGGATGTAGTTTATCGTCTTACCCAGGACAAGGATGGTTTATCGTCTTACCCAGGACGCGGGATGTGGTTTATCGTCTTACAAGGACGCGGATGTGGTTTATCGTCTTGTGGTTTATCGTCTTACAGGACAGGATGTTCTCGTGGATGTGGTTTATCGTCTTACCCAGGACAAGGATGTGGTTTATCGTCTTACCAAGGACGCGGATGCGGTTTATCGTTTATCGTCTTATCCTTACCAGGACGCGGATTTGGTTTATCGTCTTACCCAAGGACAAGGATGTGGTTTATCGTCTTACCCAGGACGCGGATGTGGTTTATCGTCTTACCCAGGACAAGGGGATGTGGTTATCGTCTTATCGTCCAGGACAGGATGAGGATGTGGTTTATCGTCTTACCCAGGACGCAAGGATGTGGTTTATCGTCTTACCCAGGACGCGGATGTGGTTTATCGTCTTACCCAGGACAAGGGATTTGGTTTATCGTCTTCGTCCCTGGGACAAGGATGTAGTTTATCGTCTTATTTAGGACGCGGATGTGGTTTATCGTCTTACCCAGGACGCGGATGTAGTTTATCGTCTTACCCAGGACGCGGATGGTTTATCGTCTTTAGGAAAAGGATGTGGTTTATCGTCTTACCCAGGACAAGGATGTGGTTTATCGTCTTACCCAGGACGCGGATGTGGTTTATCGTCTTACCCAGGACGCGGATGTGGTTTATCGTCTTACCCAGGACGCGGATGTGGTTTATCGTCTTACCCAGGACGCGGATGTGTTTATCGTCTTACCCAAGGACGCGGATGTGGTTTATCGTAGGACCTTACCCAGGACGCGGATGTCAGTTTATCGTCTTACCCAGGACAAGGATGGTTTATCGTCTTACCCAGGATGGGATGGTTTATCGTCTTACCAGGACGCGGATGTAGTTTATCGTCTTACCCAGGACGCGGATGTGGTTTTATCGTCTTACCCAGGACGCGGATGTGTTTATCGTCTTACCCAGGACGCGGATGTGGTTTATCGTCTTACCCTAGGACAAGGATGTGGTTTATCGTCTTACCCAGGACGCGGATGTAGTTTATCGTCTTACCCAGGACGAGGATTGGTTTATCGTCTTACCCATGGACAAAGGATGTGGTTTATCGTCTTACCCAGGACTCGGATGTGGTTTATCGTCTTACAGGACAGGATGCGGACAGGATTCGGTCCAGGACACCGGATGTAGTTTATCGTCTTACCCAGGACGCGGATGTGGTTTATCTTACAGGACGTCTTACCCAGGACGCGGATGTGGTTTATCGTCTTACCCAGGACAAGGATGTGGTTTATCGTCTTACCCAGGACGCGGATGTGGTTTATCGTCTTACCCAGGACGCGGATGTGGTTTATCGTCTTACCCAGGACGCGGATGTGGTTTATCGTCTTACCCAGGACAAGGAGGACGCGGATTGGTTTATCGTCTTACCCAGGACGCGGATGTGGTTTATCGTCTTACCCAGGACGCGGATTTGGTTTATCGTCTTACCCAGGACACGGATGTGGTTTATCGTCTTACCCGGGACGCGGATGTGGTTTATCGTCTTACCCAGGACGCGGATGTGGTTTATCGTCTTACCCAGGACACGGATGTAGTTTATCGTCTTACCAGGACAACAAATGTAGTTTATCG